CCCCTCCAGGCTCTCAAAAGACCTGCTTATCCCCCCCCCCTTCCAAGACCTAGGTTTCTCCCTCAAAAACCCAGCCATCCAGCCCCACCCCTGCCGGGGGACCCTCCCTGAGCCTCCCCCATGGGCTTCAGAGGCCTGGCCGTCAGGAGCACCCCATGACCTCTCACCCACAAGCCGACACCAATGACCAGCAGGAAGTAAGCAGCAATGACGAGAATGTCAGCTGGGTTGTCAATTAGGGTCCTTTGGTCCCCCGGTTGGGGGGCCAAGTCTTCCTCCGTGTGTGCCTCCATTCTAACAAGGATCTGCCCTTCGGGGCCAGTTCCTGGATTCCCCCAGGGGAAGGATTAATGGTTACCTCAAGGGCAATGAGCCGGCAAGTCCCCCAGCCTCCCTAGGCTTTGTTCAGCTGAATCAGGTCCTCTGGAGGCTGAAAGTTGGTCCTGGGGAATTGGACCCTTTTATGTTCAAGAACACTCCTTCCTGAGACCACACTCACTGTCTCCCACCCCATGGCCCTTCCCAGGGCCCAGGCTCAACACCACCTCTTTCCCCCATGCTCACGTAGACTGGGGGAGTCCACTGAACTAGCACCCCCGCTTCTGGCTCATTCAAAGGGATCTTTTCAAACCCAGACCTCACAGAATCACTCCCCTGCCTCATAGCTCCTACCACACTTAGGAGGACATTTGAGCCCTCAGTCTGATCGTCAGAGTCTAATGTACCCCGGGAGCTCTGAGGATGTCGTGGTTACACCCAGGTCTGCTGACCTGAAGGTAAGCAGTTCGAATCCACCAGCCGTTCCTCTGGAGAAAGACAAAGCTTTCTACTCCCATAAAGGTTTACAGGCTTGGAATCCCACAGAGCCCTAGAGGGCCATTATGAGTCGAAGTTTTACCATACCCAGACTTCTCTCTCTCCTCCCCACCCACCACCTCAAAACCACAGTTCCTTGCCGAGGCCCCCACCCAGCCCACACACTTTCATTTCCCCCAAAGCTGTGTTTGCTGCTTGGAGTGCTCGCTCCCACCTAACCTACTCCTATGTAACCCGTAGTACCAGCCGCGTCACCACTTCAGGGTAGATGGCTCTGACTTTCCTGATAGAGTTCTGAGCACACTGTGTGACCCTCATGTGGGTCCAGGTCTACCTCCCCGTCAGACTGCGGGGCTGCCTGCACAGCACAGTCAAGGCTGATTGGTGCCTGGGATCCCCCTTGCTCAGCCCAGGGCTAGGTGCAGAGAGGGAGGGGGTTGGTGGGTACCTGTACCTCGGCCTCTCTCTGTGGATTATCTTTGAATGTGGGGGAACGGCGGGGAGGGGCGGGCTCCTGTTCCTTTATGGGAGCTAAGGTCATCCCTGAGAGGGAGAACACAGAATGCTATTTTAGGGGGGAATGACGAGGAGTCTATGATGAGTGGGGGCCACTCGATTCGAGGGGTTATGGACACAGTGGCTGCCACACTGAGCTCAAGCCTCGGAACAGCGTGGTGAGGCTGGCGCAGGACCGGGCAGGGGTCCATTCTGTTGCACACGGGTCGAGAAGGGTGGGATCTGACTGGATGGGCCTCTAGCTAACAACACGCTGTCAGAAGCAGGCCTCGAGGAGAGAATGTGGGTGCAAGGTCTTTATTTGGGAGGCGAGCCCAGGCAGGATGGGAGGGGGGCAGATAAAGAAAGCAGAAAAGTCAACCCGTGGGAAACTAACACGGAGGGAAATCTGTCGAGGACCGGGTCCCCTAACTTATACCAGAGGGAGTCTGGAAAGCTGGTCTTCCACGGTAGGAGAGCCTCCACTTTGGTTAAGTTAGAGGTAAAGTCCAAGTACATGATCCTGCTTTAAAAATCATTCCCACAGATTCTCCCTTTAACAGCTATGCTGCCTTAAAGTGAGCACCTGGTTGATTATATCTCCCTATAGAAGCAGACATCCTTTTGCTCTCTCTTCCTGCTGTGACACCCAATCCTTTGTACCTTTCCCCAATGCAGGTATTAGGTTTCCTTACCTGTGAGCTCAGGGACCTTAATGCTGAAAGTTGCAGACACTCCCCCCTTGTCCTTGGCTCCCCCTCACACATGTATTGGCCTGCCCAACACATACGTAAAGGACACCCCTTCTCCCAGAGAATGCCTTCGGCAAGAAATACGGGGAGCAGCTGAAGTGTGTGGGCACAAGATGCATGTGACTGCTAGGTGGTCAAAGATATGGGCAAGGCATCCATGGTCTGCTTCCGTGGTTGATGCGTTTGGATCGCCCAGGAGGAATCCAGGTGCAGATATCAGAGGCTACTCAAAGTCTGTGTCTTCCGTGTGGTCTAAAAGGCCCTCTATGGGGTGACCCCATCACATCTTTGATTCTGGCTGCTATATTGGTCTTGTTCCTTTCTTACAATATGCCAGGTAATTTCAGAACCTCCTGCCTTTTCCCTTGCTGTTCCCGAGGCCTGGAACGTTCTCTCCCTAGGCTGTGGACCTGACCAGCTCCTTCCCCACCTTCAAATCTCGGCTTCAGTGAGTGGCCCATGCACAAGGGCCATCCTCCGACTAGCAGGTTAAAGCGCAACCTTCCTCAGCTTCTCTGACTCAGTCCTCTAGCTCATTCTTCTTACAGCCCCTCCTGCTTTTCTGACTCTGCCCTTCTTTTACTAGACAAACATCCATTGAGCACCGAGCACACTATTCCAAACATTGGTGCAGAAACCAGCAGCAAAATGAGCATGGTCTCTGCTCTCGAGGAGCTTGCATCCAGTGTAAGAAAGAAGCCACAAATCAGCAGCAAACTAACTCTCATTGCAACAGTGATAAGTGCTGGGATGGGACTAGAAAGGTACTGTGGGGGGTGGAAATAGAAGGAGCCCTGGTGGCATAGTGGTTACACGCTGGGCTGCTAACTGCAAGATCAGCAGTTTGAAATCACCAGGGCTTTGTATGCCTGTAAAGAGTTAACAGTCTCAGAAACACACGGGGACAGTTCGACTCTGTCCTATAAGGTCACTATGAATCCGAATCGGCTTGGTAGCCCACCTTGAGACTGGTTTTTGGTTTGAGTAGGGTGGAAATCGGGGGAAGAGCAGGTTTCTTTGGCTGGTTAGGGAAGACCCCATTCGTCCATCACACTTGTCTTCACCAGTTCTCTTAGTAGATGGTCCTAAGCCTCAGCTCTGCTGGGACACAGCACAGGCATCACCTCTTCCGGGGAGCTTGCCTGGACTCCTAATCCGGTTAGGAGCCTCCTTCAGGCTTCTGCAGTGTCCTGTGATTCCCTGGGTTTGGCCCGGACCACGCCAGGTGTCATCTGCTTAGGCTGGATTGCTCACACCTGATGCTCTCTGCGCACCAGGGAGTAACAGGTAGGCCAACAAGGAAAATAAGGGATGACTCTGGGCATGGCTACTTGCTTGCCTTCCAGAGGGTGTGAATAAGCTGCAGCTGTGTCTATAGGAAACCTACAGGCTATCGGAGATAAGGTGGAGGGAGACTAGTGCCTTAGTGCCCAGATCCAAGTAGTGGGTAAACTGGCACTCTGGGTGGCTCCCTGATGAGCTCTGGTGGGGGTAGTGGTTATACATTGGGCCGAAAAGGATAAAGTCAGCAGTTCAAAACCACCAGCTGTTCTGCGGGAGAAGAAGGGGGCTTTGTACTCTGGTAATGAGTTCCAGTCTCAGAAACCCACAGAGGAGTTTGGTTTGGTTGAGTGCCTGGGGGTACCCAAGGGCCACGGCTACAGGCTCTGCCTCCCACCACAGGCAATGACCTAGATCTGGGGACCCAGCCAACCTTACAGGGCGGGGCGTGCAGACTGGGAGCCCTCAACCGCGCAGTCGGAGACACAGCCCCAGCGAAGCGTGGAAGGTGTTTATGTAGGTAGAAAAAGGTGCACAGAATGGTGAGGGCGCAGGGATGTCCCGTCTTGACCTTGGACTTGTCGGAAAGGCCAGCTCCCCTATCCTCTGGGATGGAATCCAACTCCAGTGGGCCCTCCCCTATGGGTGTGCAGGGGCAGTCTCCCCATTGAGTGCGGCCTTACAGGGGAAGGGAGGCTCCCGGGGAAGGCCAAGCTCCAGGAGCCGGGCCTGGGGGGTCTTTGCGGGCCTGGGGGTCTCGGGGAGCCCGGGGCGGTCAGCCGAAGAGCTTGAGGAAGCAGGGCTGGCAGTAAGGCTTGCCGGCGCGCTCCTGGAAGGAGCCCTTGGTGAGCGGGCGCAGGCAGAAGGTGCAGGTGAAGTGGTCCGGGTGGAAGCGGCGCCCCAAGGCCGACACGCAGCGACCCGTGACGGGGAGGCCACACGTGGCGCACAGCGAGCCGCGCCGCGCGTGGAAATGGTTCTCGCACAGCGGGCGACCCTCGTGCTCGTAAAAGCTGCCTCCTGAGAAGGGCGCGAAGCATTCCTGGGGACGGGGAAAGGAAGTCAGCGGCCGGCCGAGAGCCCTTCAGCGCGGGGGCGGAGCCGGCCGCCGGGGGCGTGGCTCCGGGCGAGGCCCCCCCCCCCGCCGCCAGGAGGCGTGGCCCCGGGCACGGAGCGACTCAGACACAACCCACTTCCCCGACGCGTGGCTCCGCCCCCAGCGACCCAGCCCGCTGAAGCCCCGCCCCCTAGCGATCCAGCCGGCCGCGGCCCCGCCCCCTAGCGATCCAGCCGGCCGCGGCCCCGCCCCCGGGCTGGCGCACCCTGCAGACGAAGCAGTCTGGGTGCCAGAGCGCGCTGAGCGCCGAGATGTAGTTATCCAAGATGGGGCCCTGGCAGCCCTGGCAGCGCGGCGCGAACAGCTGCAGGAAGTCTCGGCGACAGTAGGGGCGGCCCTCCCGCTCGTGGAAACCTAGGGAAGGGGAGGGAGTGGACGGAGAGAAATGGGTGTGGGGGGCGGTGTGGAGCCGGACTGAGGACTCTGGATCTGAGACCCGGCAGCCCGAGAGACCCGGTCCGTGACCAGTGCGGCTCGCCCACAGGATAGGAGAGCGTGGGGTCGGGAGACGGACAAAATTCACAGGTCAGGGCTCCGGAGGTCCGAGCCGGCGGGCTCCGAGGGGGTCAGGGCCAGGCTGATGTGGGGGGCGCGCAGCTTCACAGGCAGGAGCCCAACTCTCACCCTCGTCCCCGAAGGGCTCCCTGCAGCTGACGCAGCAGAAGTGCTCCGGGTGCCAGTGGGTGCCCAAGGCCGTAACCATTTTCTGCAGAGAATGAAAAGGACTTGCAGTGTGGCACTCCTTACCTCCCCCTCCAACTGGGACTCGGGTGGCTGGGCTGAGGCGCGGGAGAACTAGCAGGGGTCTTGGAGGATCCAAGGTGCATTGGCCAAGGGGTAACGGTAGGGGGCGGGCAGGCAGGGGAGTGGGGAGTGGCAGTGGTCCCAGAAACTAGCGATAGGCAGGCAGGCGGACAGTTAGCACAGAGGCCCATCCACAGGTGCCTTGAGACAAGGTGTGGGCGATGAGGCCAGGTGGGGCTCACGTGTTGGATGGGCTGGTTGCAGAGGCCGCATCTTGGCGAGAAGCGCTCAAAGTAGCATTCCGGGCAGAAGGGAGCCCCATCCTTCTCAAAGAAGCTGCTGCCCCCTAGGGCCGTGGAACAGCCACCGCAGACGAAGTGGTCCGGGTGCCAAGCGCGACCCAGGGCCGTCACCACCTGCGGGTTGGGAAGATTGCCTGGGTCGGAGTGGGCCTTGGGCTGCCACAGGCTAAGTAGGCTGTTTGATGAGGTGCTTTCTCAGTTGTGTCTCTGAGAGGTCGAGGATGAAGAATCGAGGGTCCACCGTGGGGAATACAGCCACTTATAAGTCCTACAGGCTCAAAGGATGGGGCCTCATCCCAGGTCTGTGAGCTCAGCTCCAGAGGGCCCTTTTACAGCAGGCAGTGCTAGGGCACATTGTACTCTTACAGACCTACGAACATGTCTGAATGAATTTTAAAATCAGAAGATGAGCGGAACCCAAAGGAGCAAATTTAATATATATTAGTATGTTGTCAGTTGCCTTCAGTTGGTTCTGATGCATATGTATAACAGAAGGAAACACTGCCCGGTCCTGTGCATCCTCACGGTTCTTATGGTTAAGCAGATTGTGGCTGGCACTGTGTCAACCCATCTCCTTGACGATCTTCCTCTGTTTCGCTGCTCCTCCACTTTATCATGCACATTAATATAGTCATCTTCCTGTGCACACAGCCATCAGAAAGATGAGTAGATTAATATGCGTGGTAAAGTGAGGGTCCGTGAAGAAGAGGCCGCATATTGGCAAGAATTATTTATGTATTACCGTATGTTGTGTCAGGTAGACTAGAGAAACAAATCCAGAAAACAACCCAGTAAACTGCATGGCCATATCTGACCCCTGGCTAGCCGAAGAAGAACTCCCCTGAGGCAGAGGTCAGACAAGCATCCACTCTCCGTCCCTATGAATTTGTTTCTCTAGTCTATCCAGGCGAACACATACGCATGCACATATCATGAAGGCAAAACTCCCAAAGGTCCACAGGAGTTGGAACGTTGCCCTGTTTTGCTAACACTGGGAATTCTGGGATAGGCAGGAGGATCTTGGCCAACCACTGGGCACCATTGTTGTCACTGGTATCTGCTCAGTGAAGCCAAGACCTAGCATTCCGACTAGCCTCTGGGAGAGAAGGGACCGTCTTTGTGGCTCTTTGAGGGACAGTGAGCAAAGCCAGGGGAGCGTTGATGTAACGATTAAAGGAGTCGGGTTGCTTTTTTTAAAGGGACTAACTGCCTGGGAGCTCTGGCAGTATAGTGGTTACTACCCCATTGGGCTGCTAACTGCAAGGTCAGCAGTTTGAAGCCAACAAGCCACTCTATGAGAGAAGGATGAAGCCTTACTCCCCTAAAGAGTTACAGTCTCCGAAACCCTCAGGGGTGGTTCTGCCCTGTCTCAGAGGCCCGCTACGAGTCAGACTGACTCGATGGCAGGGAGTCCGATTTGAGGAGCACAGTGCCTGGCACGGTAGGTCCACGATCAACAGTTGGTCAGTTGGCATTCTCATCTTGCCCCATACTGGCTCTGTGACTCAGCACCCCACATGTGTCCTCCACAAAACATAACGATTGAGTTATTCATTTAGAGGGAACAGCACACAGTCTGGTGCTCAGTAAAGATAGGCCTGTAACTATCTTTCCCCTTCCATGGGGCCCCACTTACCTGCCCAGCAATGGGCTTATTGCAGGAGCCACAGAGGCCCTTGGCCTGGGTGGGAACCCCACGGCGGCTGAGGTCCGACTGCAGTAGCCCCAGCATGGTGTCTAAGCTGCCCTTACTGGCTGGTCCTGGCGGGGACGGGGAGCCCTCGTTCACAGCACTTGACCCCGGAGGCTGTGTTGGCCCGGAGGCTGGAAGCTGTACAAAGCAAGGTCCGAGAGTTGAATCAACTAAGGGGCGGGCTGGAGAGCCCTACAAGGACACTGGCCCACCCTCCTGCCTGACTCACATGGTTCTGGACACGGAAGTCAGACAGTGAGGCCATCAGCCTGTCCAGCTCCAGGGTTGCTGATGTGGCTGAAGGCTTTGCCAGGGCAGAGGATGGGCTGGAGGGACTGGGAAGACAGGTGTGTGTCGGCTCGGGGCCCCCCCAATGTTCCCTTCAGCCACTCAAGTCTCTTGGGCTGGTCACCCACCTCTCTCTCAGCCCTGACAACAATGCCAAACTCACATGCTGGGCCTTTTCTTATCGTCCACTGGGTCCTCTTTTGGCTCCCCCGCAGCTGTTTTGCTGGATGGAAACTGAGACATAATTTCATCTGGAGAGAGGAGAGAAGGGGACCTAGACACGGCGGTCATCCAGGCTCAGTCCCCGCCCTCTACTTCCAGTTAATGCTTTAACAGTTACTCTGGCGTGTCTGTGACCCTTCATCTCTGTCCTTCTCCCCTGCCCACCTCACGTCCATCAAAGCCTGGCTCAGTACCCCTACTACCTGTGATGTTGAATTGGGTGGCATTAAGTTCCTGCAGCAATCGGTCCAGCTCACAGAGCCCAGTGCCCAAGACGCCACTGGAAGAGGAGAACGGAGGGGCCGCAGAGGCCGCAGACTTTGGGGACCGAGGCTTGCACACCGTACTGGGAAACAGGTGGGAGACTGGGCTCAGGGTTGGGGAATCCAAGCCCCTCCAAGGGGGGTCCTCATCCTCCCCAGCTCCCAGGTCCCTCACCTGTACAGATGGTCCTTGTCCCCAGACGCACCTGAAGACTCCCCAGGCCCTGCCTACAGAGAGAAGAGACAAGCGTGTGGGATGCCAGCCCTGTAGTGCAGGCCAAGCCTGGCCCCAGTGGCCAGCCTAGCGGTCGGTCACCATTTGACCTCACCTGGGTCCGGTGGTCGTAGGGCAGGGGAGGGGTGAGTGGCTCAGGGGGCCGGTCTTTGGAAGGCCCTGCCCTCGGCATGTGTGAGGTGGTGGTCTCAAGGTCAGAGAGCAGGGCATCTGCCGGAAAGAGAAGCCAGGGTCAGAGGTCAAGGGGTCAAGATTGGGGTCATCTGGAGGTAGAGGCTGTGTTGAAAGTCGGCAGGAATTAAAGGGCTCAGACCAAGCCTTCAGGAATCAGAGGTAAAGGAAGGGCTCTCTGTGGACCGGGCTTGGGAAAAACAGAAGTCAGTGTGCCCCGCAAGGGTCAAGTATCTGAAGGGAGCACAGGGTCAGGCCACCGCAGCCAAGCGGAAGGGCACCAAGGATCCCTTCTGGCTGGGACAGCCCGTGCCGGTGTGCTCAGCCTGGGATTCCCCTGCCCAGTCCTCTGATTTCCCTCCATCTTCCCAGACAGCATTCAAAATGAACTTTCTCAAGCCAAGCCGGGCTCCACCCCACATTGCTCAACTGGCCATCTGCCTGGTACCCAGCTTTCTGATTGGATTGCCTTCTCTACCACACCCGTTAATTTCTGACCCCAGCAGAATCAGGACCCCCCCTCGCCCTGGCCCCCCACTCCAGGGCCTTCTGGGTCCCACGGTCTGCTCTTCCTTGGCCAGTCGCCTTCTGACTGGTCTCTTCCCCAAAGGCCAGTGTCCCATGCCCCTTACAGAAGCGCACCCTCTGCTGGAGGGCGCCAGGACCCCTGTTCTTTCTGGGCAGGCGCTGTGGCCCAAGCCCAGCTCATTAGGAGGACTGGAAGCCCAGGTCCTCTTTTCCACACACCCCGGGGCCCCCCCCCAAAAAAAACAACAACACCCTCTCCTCCCTCTTCCCCTCCTCCTCCAGAGCTGGGTTCTTTTAACCATTTCCTTTCCATAACCCCAAAGTCCTTGCCCCTTATCACTTCTCCCTCTCCTCGCGCGCACTCCTCCATGAACTCTTCCCTTTCCCAAACCCTGCAGAAGTCCATGCCGCGCTCTGCCGCTCACCTACTTTCCCAGACCCTCCCTCCCAGACTCCGGGCTGTCCCTCCGCGCCCGTCCGTCCGTCGGTCGGTCCGTCCGGTTGGAGGAGAGGGGCCAAGGAGGCAGGGAGGGGGAGGGCGCGGCCGGCCGGGAAAGGCAGGAAGGGAGACGTGGAGTCGGACGGGAGGCGCGGGCAGAGAGCGGAGCCGGAGCCGGAGCGAGAAGCCAGGAGGCGGGGATGGGGAGGTGCAGGGAGTGCGCGGGGCTCCTGGGAAAGCGGGCCTAGGCGGCTCGCAAGGGGCTCGGGGCGCAGGGACCCGGACCCCACTCACCGAGGTCCTCCATGGCGGGGCGTGGGCCAGCTGCGCGGGGCGAGCAGGGCGGGGGCCGTGTCCGGTGGGGGCGGGGGCAGGGGGATGTCCGGGAGCTGGAGGCCCGGCTGTGACCATGTAAGGAAGCGGGGACCCGCTGGGATGGGGATGAACGAGGGAACCCGGGGTAGGGGCGTGGGAGGGAGGGAAGAAAGCAGGGGCCCACCCAGGCCCAGTCGCTGGCCTGCCACAGAGGCGGCCACACCCCAGCCTTGGCCTTCGCTGCAGGAATCCCCAGGCGATTGGCCAGGAGTGAGACTCGGCTCTTCTAGACCAAGTCCTGGAACCCCTGCCCAGTGAGACTCTTGGACACAGGGACCCCTGGGGAGATGTCTCCCACCCCCCCACGTCAGGCCGGAGTCCTAGAGAGAGCCTCCTCCTACTACCCAGATCAGTACTGATAAAGGTGTCCGGGAGAATTTTCTGGCTGGGGGGCTGGAGCGATGTTCAAAGGGTCAGTTCCCAAGTGCAGAGACCCTGCCGGATCACCACAGAAAGCCAGCTCTCAAAGGGCACATGATGGGCACAAAGAACTCCGTGTGATCCCGACACGGGAAACCCACCCCTGGACGCCCAGCCGGGAGCCTCCTTCCAAGACTTGGAAAGAGGCATGCAGACACCGGTCCATGGAAACCTAGACCCACGTCCCAGGGAGTTTGAAGGCAACCTAGCCCTGCCCCAAGATACTGGACACAGCTGGAAGAGTGCTCCCTGAACTCCGAGGACTCATGAGACTAGACGGGGATGGACACAGTTGTGCTGTTGTTCATGGGTTAGACAGTCCTGAGCCCTTGGACGGTGGGTGTCAAGCCAACAGCAAACTAGAACCACCCAGAAAACCAAAAAAAACGCTGCCCGGACCATCCCCTAAGCGTAATGTGATGGGAATGGGCTTAGGCATTTGCGGTGGTTATGCATACTGTGGTACTCACATCATCAATTTGAGGAGGGGTGGAGTCTAGCCTGTCAATCAGGTCACCGCTTAATGGCTTCGTTTGGAACTGCGAAGGACATAAATAACTTACTGGAGGCAGGGCACTCAGTCCCTGCGAGACATTCCTGTTCACAAGACACGCGGAGCTATGCTAGAGCACTGGAGCTGGAGGAGCCAGGGGGAGCCCCATGCCAGCGCCGGGAAGCTTACACCACCACCACCGGATCCGGGAGACTCTCCACCCCCTGGCCTGTGATCTTCCTGCACCCGGCGTCATTGCATGTGTTACACAAGTCTGAAGAGGAATTTACAGATTGGAATTGGGCATGTGGGCTAATATTAGACTTATGGAGTTGATCTGGACTGTTTTCTCAATATTCAATTGCTCTTGTACATAAAGCTCTTATACACCAGAGTGTCTCTGAATTTGTTTCTCTAGTCTACCCTCACACACACACACACACACACACGTGTATAGATGCAGTTTATTTTTGTTATTGAGAATATTCATGGCAGATCATATACCAGTTCATGTTACTACATGGACATTTCTGCGACACCGAGATTACATCTTTCCAGCTGCGTAGCCGTCCCTGTCCCCCCTTGGGTTATCTTTCCCGTTCATGGAAAACTTGCTGCCCCCTAGGTCCCTGCTTCATCTCTTCAGTTGTCGCTCGGATCCTAGATCCATAGAAAGGTCTGAGAGAGGACACTGCTCAAGGCAAACAGTCTATGTTTAGTTTTTGGAAGACTTCTGAAGATATTTTTGGTTTAAGGTTTAAACAGGACCTTAGGAGTTGGAAGAGCACATCTAGCCTGGAGGGTCAAGGACATCTTGAGAATGTGCCGTTCTTCTGAACGCCCCCGTTGATCAGGACTCATCAAAACATTTGGCCGTGGCCGCTGGTCACCATCTAGTTCTCCATCTCATAGCAATGGAGGCCTTCTTGTTATCCAGGGAGGTCATTACCAACACATCCCACTTCCTCCTCCTATGCCAAGCTCTGGAAGATCCTACGCAGGACACAGTGAACTAGTAGACGGAAGCACTAAGCTTGTCATGAGGCCAAGTTGCTGGGATGTCCCATGATCCATGGCCCCAAACCTCCAGCCAAGAAACCACATCCTATGAGGTTGGACATAAGCGGCCGTGGTGGGGTCTCCTTTGGGTCACTGCTGGAAATACACCTACGGTGCACGACTGGCCCATTCAACTTTCCCAGGCGCACAGCTTATGGAAAAGCAGTGTTGCACAGTGAGACTTTTTCCAATCCCTGTCAATGGAACTTCAGGATTCCTAAAAAGATGAGTCACCCTTCTCCCTTCCCACTGGTAATCACTAAGAAACTCTGGTCTCTGTACACAGTGGTCTGTTCTTTCTCCAGGAGGTCATATTTGTCCTGTGGGTTTGACGGATTTCATTCAGCATCATGGCTTCAAGCGAGACCCACGTTGCAGCATGCATTCAACACTCAGTGCCTAGCATTTCCTAGTTTGGTTGTACCACGTTGTGTTGACCCATGCTTCCGTCGGTGACACGGGGCTGCTTCCACCTTGGTCTGTTGTGAAGAGGGCTGCCACGGACACTGGTGTGTGCCCGTCTCCTTTGGGGTCTCCTCTCGAGCCTGCTGGGTTGACAGCTAGGAGTGAAGCTGCGGGGGCTGCAGGAGGAACCAGTCCATGGAAAACATCAGGTTTGGTAGCGGGTCAGCAAGGAAAGGGGAAGTCGCTCAATGAGATAGGTTGACACTGTGCCAGCGCCAGCGGGTTTCTGTGGACTGACCGGAGTCTGTCTGCCGCACATCGGGGCACTGGGAGTGGGAACGGACTCGACAGCCCTGAACAACACACGGTTCATCTTTAGTGTTTGTTGTGGTTGTTTTGAGGAACCACCGCACCCTTTTCAACAGCAGTTCCATTTTGCCTTTCCCCCGGCCCCGCCCCTTTCCCCACGTCCTTGCCAACTGTTCTTATCTGGATCGGGCTGGGTTTTGAATCGTGGCCATCCTTGGGGTCTGGGACTGGCATCTTCCTGATAGGCCGTCTGCACATGTGCTTTGCGGAGCTGGCCTTCAAGTCCTTGGCCCAGTTCATGTCTGGGTTTGTCTTTTTGTTGTTAGGTGTATTTAGGGTTTTTTTGCATTTGGAGTTTTTGAAGGCTCTCTGGGTGGTTCCAGTGCGCAGCCTTGAAAGCCAGAGGCCTGCACAAATAAATACGCAGAGAAAGCGAGTGCCAACCTTCGTTCCCCAGTCATGCTGTGGAACATCAGACTGCCACCCAGGCGGCTGGGGGACCTGAGAACCAGATGATGGAGACCCTACCCTGGAGACCAAAGCAGGGAGTCCTCCCTCATCTGAATAACCCGCCCAGAGCTTTGGCTCTCTCTGGGCATGATCTCGGCAGGGCTCTCGGAACCACCAGGAACACAGCAGATGCCAGGACACTGGGCCCCAGAGATGAGAGCAGCCCTAAAGACAAAAGCCCAAGATAGACAAAGGACAGCCAAAACAAGCCTGGCACCAAATTCTCTGACACAGATCTCCACTTCCGCTATCCACTCGGCAGGACCATCTCAGCTGTGGGCCCTCTGGGGTGCTGTCTGAGCAATGCTGCCCCGGGAGCAGGAAGCAGGCCCTATCCTAGGGAGAAGCCTGGGAACTCTATGCTATCCCGGGGCTCCAGGGACCAATGCGTGATGACTTAAAAGGCTCCTTACATGCCAGGTGTGGACTCTGTTCAGCCACAGAGACCACGGCTGGCTGTGGCTTGCCGGTGAAGGGGAGGAGGGCTCCTACAGGGCAGCAAGCAGAGACACTAACATGATGGGGTGTCCGACTCTAGGACCTTCTAATCTCACCTGCAGAGTTAGCTTGGCCACTCGCCATCTCTCGGGCCCCATGACCAGGCCCTGGCCTCGCTTCTCATTCCTGGGACTTTGCATCCCAGCATCTGCTCCCGTTCAAGCTGCCCAGCTTACCTGGTTGTGAACCCTTCCCTGTCACCACTCGGAGGGAGGACTCCCCACAGCTGCTCTGTCTGTGGGTCCCCTCCCAGGGAACATCAACAGTCTGCACCAGGACCTTTGCCCCCTGCCTCTGCACCCATCACCACAGCCAACAAGGCTTCAGTCAGTAGCCCAGCCTCTTCACCCGCTGCCCCCACAAGCTCCATCAGGGCCAGGGCCCGTTTCCGCGGGCACCGTCCTGGCTCCAGAGTCCAGTGGGCACAGTGGGCAGCCAGCCGGGGCCGGCCCAGGCGGAATACTTCCCCCACGGACTCTGGGCCACCCTGGGGCCCCAGGTGGACCCGGCCCACAGCCTCTTCCAGCTCCTCCTCCAGGCCAGGCAGCAGGAAACGGCCAGCAGCCTCCAGGGCCTCTTCGGCCCCGGAGCCAAGCAAGGGCTGGCCTGGTGGTGGCACAGGCCCCCGAGCAGCCCCACAACCCCGGCAGCCGTGCAGATGATGCAGGACGGGCCAGGCCGCACTGGGGGACAGCCCCCGGAGGGGAACCAGGTCCAGCTGGGCTTCAGCGAAGCTGCCAGCGAGCAGGGCCCGGAAGAACGGGGATGCGGTAGCTGATGTGGCCCGCTGGGCTGGGAGCCGAAGGCCCGAGTCCAGTAGGAAGTGCAAGTCAGGGGCGGGGCCTGGGGCTGGGGTGGAGCCTAGCAGAGGCTCATAGTGGCAAGGGGTGGGCAGGTCCAGGTCCCAGGGGGATGTGAGCGGGAGGGCTGGGCTCTCGGTGGGTGACACCAGGCTGCGGAGGCAGGAGAGGGAGTCGGCAACGAAGACGAAGAAGAGCGGGTTCGGGGCTGGCAGGGTTAGCGCCCCAAGGAGGAGCCGGAGGCCACCCTGGTCCAGAAGGAGCCGGCGCCACAGAGAGGGCTTCCTGAAGGGGGGAGAGGAAAAGCTTTCAGGAGTAGAAAAAGGAGGGGCTGGGGTACAGCAGTGTGGCTCCCCCCAGCACCACCCCCACGCCGCAGCCAGCACACCCTGCTGACCGGCAGATGAAGGGCAGGGTCAGCGCACAGGCCACACGGTCCTCTGGGGTCCCGGAGAGCAGCAGATGGGTGAGTGCGCCCACCCCGAAGGGGGACTCAGCTTGCACGGTCAGGTTCTGCAGCAGCAGCTCCCCTGTAGGGTGGGGTGGACAGAAGGGGTCAGGTGGGGAGCTGGTGTCCGTCCAGGGTCAGACGGACCCTGGAAGGGAGGAGGGCGACACGGACTGGTGGCGTCAGAACGCTCGAGGACCTGGAGGTTGAGGTGAGAACAGGGAGGGGTGGCCAGTGTCCGGGGCTGGGCCCCGAGGTCTGGGATGGCCCTGCGGGCTCCCGGCTGTGTTGGAAGGGGCACCGCAGTCGGCATGGTGCCTGTGCCTGGGTTCCAGTCACCATGTGCAGCATCCGGGCCTGAGCCGGGGATCTGAGCCCCAAGGTCTGGGCAGAGGCCAGGTCACTCGACCTTCGGCAGTCTGAGACCTCTTCTTCACCCCAGGGGCCGGGCTGGTGGGAGCGCCGGCTAGGCAGACCATGGACAGGGGGTGTCCAGGGTGGGAGGACATACCCAATTCTCGGTGTTGGTTGCAGCGGGGGGCCGGGCGGGCCCGCGGTGTGGGCCAGTCGTCAGGAGCGACACCGAGCACCAGCCAGGCCCGTAGCAGCGCTGCTCCATAGCTGCGCACGAAGGCCTCCAGGCAGGCCGGGTTGCAGGTGAGGCGTGCCAGGATGCGGAGCGCGCGAGGGTTTGGTGGGCCAGGTGCCCCAGTCACGTAGGCCAGCAGGCCACGCAGCGCCGGCCCGGTCACCAGGGCCCCGCTCGGGTCAGGCGCCTGGGAGAAGCGTGACAGGAGCAGCAGGGCTGGCCCTTCCCGGCCCCAAGGCTCCTCAGTGGGGGTGGCTGTGCTGCGTCTTGGGGTGCACAGCTTGCGTGGGGTCTGCAGCGAGGGGGGACCACTTGTGGCAGGGCTGGACGGCTCTGAGGGCTCTGGCAGCGGGCAGTGCTCAGGGGACCAATCCGGGGAGATGTCTCCAGGGCCGGCGGCATAGCCCTCGGAGATGAGCCACGACCTGCCAATGGAGAGACGGGGGGATGAAGTGGGTGGGCGGGGGTGGACAACACACGGCCTGGGGTGGGTGTCAGGTGAAAGGAGATGGCACCCAGGGAGAGGGAGCAGCCCCAAGGTGGCAGGGGAGAAAGATGGCGGACCAAAAAACCCCCAGCAGTGTTAGGCACCAAGCTCCGCTCTAAAGCCCCTGGAGTTTACAAGAGGCTAAAATCCAGTGGGAGGAAATCCCGGCAGAAGCAAAGCCCACAGCCACAGAATCAAGTCTGCTGCCCGGCGACCCTGTGCAGGTTTCCGAGGCCCTACATCTCAACGGGCACAGACAGCCTCATCTTTCTCTCGAGGGGCGGCTGGTGGGTCTGAACTGCCGCCTTTGTGACTAGCAGTTCGGTGCTCACCCTGCAGCGCCACCAGGGCTTCTGGAGAGGAAGCACACTGCAGGATGAAGACCTGTGCTTCGTGCTAGATGGGCCAGGGGGTGTGGGCAAAAGAACAGGGAGCAGAAGGAGCTGGGACATTTTACGAAGCGTGGCGACGGGAGCGCCCACCGAGAGCAATCACGGCATCTGGGAGTGGGGGCTCAAGGGCAGCCGGGAGACGTGTTTTAGGCCGAGGGAACAGCAAGCCAAGGGGCTGTGAGGCTCTGGGGGGGATGCCTGGCTGGCATGCTCACAAACCAGGGAGGAAGTTTGCGTGGTAGTGACTGAGGAGAGGAGAACCCACAGGCAGACATTCACTGAGCACCGCTTAGTGCCAGCCAAGGGGCGATGGCTGCCACTGCCGTTAGGTACGGAGTTGGTTCCGACCCACAGCGACCCTCTGCACGACAGGAGGAAGTTGCCTGGCCCGGTGGCACCCTCGCCATGGCCCTATGCTCGAGCCCACGGTCGCAACCACAGTGCTGGTCCACCTCCTTCAGGGCCTTCCTTTGGTTGCCTCCCCTCCAGGTTACCAAGCAGTGATGTCCTTCTCCAGGGACGGGCCTCTCCTGACAACACGGCCAGAGTTCGTGAGGGGAAGTCTTGCCATCTTGGCCTCTCAGGGCCGTGCCGGCTGTCTTTCTTCCCACACAGGCGTGTTTGTTCTTTCACCCCTCTTCTCCGGCGCCATCGTTCCAATGCCCCATTCCTCTGCAGTCTTCCTTACTCAGTGCCCACCTTGCACGCGCACACGAGGGGAGGGGAATAGCACGGCTCGGGCCAGGCGCGTCTTAGCCATCAGAGTAACCTCCCGGCTTTCCGACACTCTCAAGAGGTGCTGGGCAGAGCGGATTTAGCCGATGCAACCCCGAACTGAATTTAATTCTTCTAAGGACTCTGTGGGGTGGGGATGCTCCTGGCCTCCATGCTGCAGGGGAGGAAATGGCGGTTCCTGGACGTGAACTGCTCCGACACGGCCCCGCCCATACATAGTGGCACCAGAGTAGGGCCTTAAGCTCCTGAACTTGCCGTTCTAGCCAGTGGCCATGGTGCCTATCTGAAACTGGGCCTGGGTCCCAGAGCTGAGAGGTGCTGGGGTTGTGGCCAGGGCAAAAGACGAGCCCAGGGGAGAGGGGATGTGCTGAACGGGAAGGCTGGGAGCCCGAGAAGGGGTCCCTGGGGCGTAGCTGGGGAAGCACTGAGCCTAACGGCACAAGGTCATCGGTTTGAGCCCCTGCGTGTGTGGCTCCGCAGAGTAAGACGAGGCTGTCTGCTTCTGTGAAGACTTACAGATTCAGAAACCCCTACAGGGTCACGCGCTAAGAGTTGAAATCAATTTCATGGCAGGCCACAGCAGCTTGGGAAAGGAGTCATGGCAAGGCAAAAACAAGGAATTAGGAGATAGGGGTTAATAAAAGTCACCAAGTTTCCCTGAAAGCACAATCCAAGACTAAAAAAAAAAA